GTTTGGATGGAGCGCTGAGCACCCTGGGCTGGAGGAAGATGTCCCTGCTCATGGCAGGGGGTTGGAACCAGATGAGATTTAAGGTCCCTTCCAACCCCTGCCATTCTGTGATTCTATGAAAATGTTGGCTTTGCTGCCCTGCGGATCCTGCCGGCTTCCTGGCGCAGGTCGAACAGCGAGGGATACGCTACGCTGGCAAGGGGAATGGGAACAGGCAACGCTGCGTAGGCACAGTTTGGCAGAGTTAATGTTAATGTAGAAACTTCAACTTTTGATATCTGCTGCCATTTGAGGGGTTTATTTCTCAGCTTTAACAACAAGTATTGCTGCTTCCCCCCTAACACACAGCTTGTAAAGAAACGCCGAGTTTTGAAGAGCAGCTCCAGAAGGGAAAGCGCAGCTCGTGACAAGTCACATCCCTGTGTAACACTTAGGAAATTCCAAGTCCTCACAAGTCTTTGAGGAACTTACTCAAAGATGTCGGAGGAATCAGCCAGCCCTCCCTCATCACACCCACTCTTAGGGCCCCGACCTGTTGGGAGCTGAAGTTGAGCGTGACGCTGTCTGCTCCCGCGCTGCGTTTAGCCGGCTCCCGTCCTCGCTCGGACGCCTTCTCACCCGAGGTCGCTTGAGCGAGCATTTGGCTTCGGAAGGTCCTGTGTCCAGATGCTTTTCCTACCCATCTGTTACTGCAGGAATCAGTAAAGTTAAGGAATTTTTACCCTCATGACGTTATTCAGGACAACAAATATTATCACAGCTCTCCAGTGGCGATGCTAATCATGAGCAGCGGAGCGCTGCACGCAGCACAGCAGCTGTCGTATGTTTAAGGGTGAAATTCCAATCACAGTATGCTATGTAACCTCTGGATAAATATTTACGCTCGTGAAGGTTAAGTGACTTGGGGTACTATAAACTCCGGCCTTTTGGGCCGGCTGCTGCAGTTTCAGCCTTCCTGCAGTGACCTACCACTGACCTCTGTCTGGAGCAGTGATTGCTGGAGGTGACAATTCAGCGCGGGTCCTGAGGCCTCAGCTGAGCAATAACGCAGCGCACGGAACACAGCAGGCACTATCTGAACCCAGCTGCTCATCTCAGAGCCACTCCTCTTCTCTAACGTTGCTTAGATTTCCTGGAAAATCTTCTTCTGGAAAAATTTCCTGGGAAAGATGTAACTTCATTCACAAACCCTGCATGATGTTGCCTCAGCATTGGTGTAAGAGGGTGAAAGCCCCTTGAAGACAATAAGCATCTTTACTCTGAGGGTGATGGAGCACTGGCCCAGGTTGCCCAGGGAGGCTGTGGAGTCTCCTTCTCTGGAGATATTCCAGACCCGCCTGGACACGGTCCTGTGCAGCCTGCTCTGGGTGACCCTGCTTCGGCAGGGGGTTGGGCTGGGTGACCCACAGAGGTCCCTTCCAACCCCAAATATTCTGTGATTCTGTGAAGCATCATCTCACAGGCTGGATTTGGGGTGTTTTAGTCATGTGCTGGATAGGAAGCGTGCACTTATCCTTTCATAACATGCAGGCACATCTTCAAGGTCGTGGTGTGGTTACCTTGCTTCAGAAACGCAAGCGAAGCACCAGGCCAGGCTGCTACTCAAACAGTCGTACAAGGGACCTCCCATGAGGAGCTGTAGTTGAGGGCCTTTCAGCACTCCTGGAGCAAAAACAAACCACAAAACAGGCAAAGCTGTAGTCTTAGCGAAGACAGCAGAGCTGGGATTCGCTCCAGCCATTCTACATCCCAGAGGCATCAGGTGAAGCCTTACTGCTCTTTCTCCATCATCTCGCTAGTGCCATCATCTCCTGCTTCAAAGCAGAGAACGGAGCTCCGTTCAACACGGCTGATGGGTTCCTTCACCCTCCTCCCAGCCTTAGGAGCGGCCCCATCCGTGCGAGGCAGAAGAGCAAGCCACGGCGACGTATCTCAGTTTAATCCAAGCTGAGGGGAAGTATTTCACGTGCTGCTTTGAAGCACTGGAACCACATTTAGACTCCCGTCTTCTACTGAGAAACCAGACTTCACCCCCGGCCTTTCAGAAGCGAGCCATCCTACAGCAGGGCTCTGTTGGCTCAGTTCTGCTTGCCCAAAGGAAACACACGACCAAACCCGTGCCTTGAAGTAGCTTTCCTAAAAAAGCCCAATTTATTTCCATGCCGTTCCACCACGGTTGGCAGCTGTTGTCAGCACGTGCTGTTATCTTTGGAGCAAGAACATTGTCAGCAGGTCTATGGCTTGCTAATGCCATGTTGAGGACTGTTTATTTTATCTGGCAGTTCATACCTAAAAGAATGGCTTTAGGACAACAATATGCATTTCAGTCCGAGGAACTCATTAATAATACTTTAATCCACACGAGTCTTAGGTTTTATTTTGCTTTACTCTGCCCCAGGACATTTTTTTTCTTGACTTGTCCTCTCTGAACTTGCCGAGCACGGGTTCCAAATCCCAGAGACTGCATTGACTCTGTTAAGTACTTCTGGTCAGGAGAGATGCACAGCATCACCAACAGCTTCGCATCACCTCCTAAAAGCAGGAGAAAGACAAAATATACTTATTTACCTCATTATTTTCAGAAAGTTATACACTGGTCATGTATTGATGTACACAACAACGAGCGTAGGCCACCACCACTGCTTTTATGAAGCAGAAGACTCTGCGTGAGGAGGGCTGTTAACAGACAGCTCCTTCAAGGGACGCCTGTGTCTAACAATAGGACACTTGCCCCAGCAGAACCAATGTTTCACAATCTGTAACGTTGATTTTTCCCCCCCTTATAGTTAGTCTGCCTGTATGTTATGGGTCTGGCGACTTCGTTAAGCTTTGTGAATTGTCTGTAAATTCAAGGTAACGGCCCAATGGGTTATCTGTGTGACAATCAAGCAAACCAGACTTATCAAAAGTTCACAGAGAATGATTAAACAAAGACAGAAATTGCCCTGTTCAACACTTCACCTAAACAGCATCGCCCAAGTCGTACACCAGGCGTGGTTACAGCCAGGCGCAGTGCCCGTACCACAGCTCCCTCACTCACTGCGTGCTTTGGCTTTCCCTGTCCATGGCAGGGACTTTGGTGCTAGGCGAAATTCAAAGTTCAAGCCAAAATTAATGGTCTTTCAGCAGCTCTGAAGAACGAGTGCCTCAATCCCTGTCCGTGCCTTGAACTGGAGACTAAAGGGCGGATGCTGTCTGGCTGTGGGAAAACGGACTCCTATAGCGTACGGATGGACACAAATCCGACATTACCGCAGGAACCACGCGTGCTTTAAAGCTGCCTCTGCATGGGTGAGGAGCTGGAGCAGAGGGGGGTGACCCAAACACAAAAGGGAGCTGTAGCACCGTACCGTGCAGCGGTTCCGTCTCCCTCCTTGGTCTTGCTGCCACAGGGCACAACGTTAAGGAACGTGCAAACACGTGACTACACCCCGTAGTAATAGAGATTAAAGCTTCACTTGTAGACTGTAGCTGACATGAAACACCAGTGAAATGCAATTACTACCCTTTGCACAATATCTTATTAGAGATCACAGAATCACAGAATGTTTGGGTTGGAAGGGACCTCTGTGGGTCACCCAGCCCAACCCCCTGCCCAAGCAGGGTCACCCAGAGCAGGCTGCACAGGACCTTGTCCAGCCAGGGTTGGAATATCTCCAGAGGAGACTCCACAGCCCCTCTGGGCAGCCTGGGCCAGGGCTCCGTCACCCTCAGAGGGAAGAAGTTCTTCCTCCTGTTCAGCTGGAACTTCCTCTGCTTCAGTTTGTGCCCGTTGCCCCTTGTCCTGTCGCTGGGCACCACTGGAAAGAGTCTGGCCCCGTTGTGATTATCCCAAGCGTATTCCTAAACTGAGCCTTGGAACCAGCAAGGGTTAGCCAAATTCAGGAGTCCAGCACTCTCGCCGCGCACTCACACTGCCCCAAAGCCGGAGTCTTTGACTACAGAGGCCCACACGCAAGTGAGGAGGACAAGATCACCCCCTAGTTTTACCCAACAGGGGAGGGGGAAGACTGGGAAGGGAGATCTGCGCTGCCGGACAGCGGCCAGGCTAACCCCTCACCTATGGAGTCCTGAAGCAGGCGCGTCAGTTTGCTGTTCCGATACGGCACGTGGGCTCGCTGTTCTGCTATTGCTCCCAGCACGTCCGCGAGGGCAGCCAGGCTGCGGTTGATGAAGGAGGTCTCCCGCAGCGCCGCACCGGCCACCCCAGACATCCCTAGTGCAGCGGAGGAAAGGGCAGCGGTGAGACGGCGCGGAGCCGCTTCATTGTGAGTTTGTGGGAACTCTGATGGAGCAGCGCGAGGGGTTTACGTTCACCAGAGTCTGCACGGTGCCGTTCTTTGTGGTGTGATTTGTAGTAAGGAAATCGATGCGGGGAAACGATGCCCTTCTGCTGTCCACCCAGCATGGTGGCACGTGGCCACGCTGCTCTTGAGCGACAGTGGAAGGGTTTGGTCTGCAGGTCAAGCTGCACCAATGTCAAGATCAGCTCTGTGACCAGTCTGAAGGAGCGTGCAGGTCAGAGCCTTGTAGGGCTACAAGGATGATGAGGGGACTGGAACATCTCCCCTACGAGGAGAGGCTGAGGGAGCTGGGCTTGTTCAGCCTGGAGAAGAGAAGGCTGCGAGGGGACCTAATAAATGCTTATAAATATCTGAAGGGTGGGTGTCAGGAGGACGGGGCCAGACTCTTTCCAGTGGTGCCCAGCGACAGGACAAGGGGCAACGGGCACAAACTGAAGCAGAGGAAGTTCCGTCTGAACACGAGGAAGAACTTCTTCCCTCTGAGGGTGACGGAGCCCTGGAACA